TTTTTTTTTTTTTTTTTTTTTATTCTTTTTAAGTACCTTTAACAGAATGCATTTAGGACTCATATCATCCCTCTTCAGTTGTTAAACAGTTGTTACATATTAAAATTTGGTGAACAAATCAACTTATTAAATACATATTGTGATAAATTTGAGGAAAAAAAACAGCAATATTAGGTTGCTAAAATAATAATTCGATAAAGATCCAAACAAGAAGCTAAATGAAGAAAACAATTTTCTTTACATAATTTGAAATAATAATATAAATATTTTCTCAAAGATTTATCCAAGATTAAAACACCATAAAGCAAGAAAAATAAAATAGAAAATATGAATAAAATAATGATAATTGGAATAATTTAAGGAGTTGATTTTATTTATTTATTCATTTATATGTTCATCATCCAGTTTTTTTCTGGGATTTACTTTACAATGATAACTCCAAATGAATCAAATATACGTGTATGCTTAACTAGATTTTCTATTAAATGAGTTAGTAGTCTTTGAAAATAGAATCTGTGTGCAATATGCATTCTAAATAGAGAGCAGTAAAAGAAACCAAAAACATTTCAGCATTTCAAATGGGTTCAAATGAGTCAGAAGTAAGTCGGGTTCTTTTCAACAAGATATGACAAAAATTCTCATTTTTCTACAACACGTCTACATTCTAAAGTATTATTAATGGAAAATTCAATATATTGTTTTGGCTCCTTACCTTTTCAGTCTGGATCTTGTTCCTTCTGACTGCATTGTTTTTGGTGATTGTAATATTTAAAAAGTTCAAACACAATCAAAAAGTCATTTCCAAAATAAAGAGGTATAGACATAAAGAGCAATACTGCAAAAGCATATAACAGGGGTGGGCAAGCAAGAGTTCAGTGGGAGCCGAAATGTAGGTTTTGCAAAATACATTGGAGCCACAGTTCTGTACTTTTTTATTCTGTGCCACAGTTCTGTACCGCCATTTTATTATATAACATAAATATAATATAAAACAAATATTGAATTTTTTTAATAAACATATTTTCATAAAACTGTGGAAATAAAATTGTAAAAATAATAATAAAAAGCAGAAATTAACACTTTCAGCAAGAGCCGCATGTAACTCAAAAAGAGCCATATGTGGCTCTCGGAGCCACATTTACCCAGGTCTGGCATATAAGTTCTCATGTCTCATGATATAAAATTACAGATTTGAAAGGAAACTATGCTGAAAAATATTTTGTGCAATTCTTACTTAATTGTATTGTACAAAAATACACGAAAAATCAATTTTTCTTTCTGTTCTGACTTACGGAGGGAAAGTTAGAAAGGTAGGTACAGGCTCAACAATTAAAGACCATTCTATGAAAAAGTGAATTTAATACTAATATTTTTAAAACAAGTGAATTCAGCATCATTATACTTTTAACAGTGTACAGTAAACTATATTTTATGTTGATATGCAGTGGAATTTTTAATGAAAAGTACACTTTTCAGCATAAAATTCCACTGCAGAGAGAAGAAACAAAATTCTCTGTTTGCTTTAATAAACTTTTTAAAATTATAATTACTTCTAATTATCATCCAATTTTTTCCTCTAAAAGTGTCTCTTTAAAGTAAGATGATCTCAAATAATAATTTTTTAAAATTCAAAATAATAATAAAATAATAATTTTTTTCCTGAAAATTTCTTTCTGCAAGTGAGGTGTCTTATATTCAAAATAATAAGATAAATTCATAAATTTGATTGATGTTTTTAAATCAGATATTTAAAAAATTTGTTATTGATGCAAAATATTCTTACAATTTCAATACCCCAATCACTTGAAGTACAGTTTTTAGAAACTCCAAAACAGAAACAAGGTGAGCATCCATCAGGATTGTCTGCAGATAAATGATAATATCCTTCTTTGCATTTATCACATCTAATTCCTTCAACATTTATCTATATAATATAAAAACAAAAAATTTAATATGAAATAATCATAGTCTATAAATTAGAAATTATAAAACTGTAATGCATACTTTACAGGTACAACTTCCTTCACATGTTGTTCCATCCACTGTTCCAGCAAAATGACAAGGGCAAGGTTCACAAAACGGATAATTTCTGTATCCCTTTGCACATTCATTGCAATTTTTCCCTGTAAAACCTTCTTTGCAAAGACAATCTCCTGGTGCCTTGATAAATGAAAAATAAACTGTTTTTAAAACTTTAAATCAATTTTATAAATTTATTAATATTTTTCAGTTATCTTTTAAATTTAGATCTACTCCAAAACATATTTTAAAACACTCACATCATAAAATAATGTTTAAGTTCAAAACTTTAAAAGTAAAAGACTTTTTCTAAAGTATGTTTAAGATTTAAATTAAAATGATGTTTTTAAATAAATATGAAGCAAATTAAAAATAACTACCAATCCTTCTTGTAAATGTGAACCATCTTTCACACATATTCCAGTCATTCCAGGTGCTGTACATTTACATTTTTGACAACGAGAATAGCTATCCTGTTTAGCATTTCGATAATATCCATCAGCACACTGTTCACAATTAACACCAGCAGTATTATGCTATAAAAGTGAATAATTATATCAATTTTTTTTTACAAAAATTTATTCATTTAAAAAATAAAATATGCTTGTTAAGAAATATTACACATCATATTATTAATTATTAATAATACGTATTATTAATTAAAACACAAAACTATTAATTACTAGAAAATGAATTACTCAACTCTCACCTTACAGTTTTCACAAACACCTCCTCCTTCATATTGTCCTTCAATGTTAAGACTTTCTCTTCTATCAGCTACATTTTGATCATAATAACAACTTTCTGCATGACCAAAACATTGACACACTAATAAAAAACAAATATATATTAGAAATTAGAATGACAGATAAATGAATTATACATAGTAAGAATGAACTAGCCACTGTGATTACTCAGCTGAATTAATGATGTGCCTTCAGCATCGGGTGAAATTTGAAGAACACTAATATTTTCAATCTCATTAATCGACCAGCTTTAAGCATGGACAAGCATGAAATTGAAATCAATCAAGTCAATGTTCTTGAAATTTAACCCACTGTTAAAGGAGCATTAATTAATTTAGCTACTATGTAGTAATATTTAATATTTACTTTTAATTTATATCAATTTTGGATATAATTGCTTTCTGATATATTTACTTACTTATTAGAAACTGGACAAATCTTTATTATTATTTATAAAATTATATTTTGAATTAATATTTTAAACCAAACAATTTAAACATCTTTTAATGAGTTAAAGTGTACAGAATTATTTTCTTTTCTAAATTAATTTAGAAAGGAAAATAATTCTTTAAATTTAAATTTATTTAAATTGCTAATAAAATTTATGGTGTAATATGTAATAAAACACTCCACAAATACCTTAAAAATAAGTAATAATTGTTAGCTAAACCAAAATATATTTTATTATAAATTATGTCAAATATCTTACTTTCACAAACAGCTCCATCTGTAGTATTTCCTGCTCGCCATGCTTTTTGATTGTATAATGGACAACAAAAATCACAATTTTCACCACACGTATTATGTTCACACTTACATTGTTGTTTCTGTTATAAGAATGAAAATTTGATTTATAATTAAATAAAAAATATATTAATATTATTATTAGTTTATTTGTTCTGCAAAACCAAAGAAGACACAAACAAAAAATGAAAACAAAAACAATTTTTCTGTGTTTTTACATGAGTTAATACAACAAATTTTGAAATATTATTGAAATGAATAATGTTTGGTAACATAACAGATATTCCCAATAAATTACGAAACAGTAAGTGAAAATTATCCTGATTGAACTTATCAAAATTAATATGTTACATATATTTACATATTATTACATGAATTTCTTTACAATTAGTGAATAATTGTATAGAAAGAACATGCACTCCTACAAAAATAACATAATTCTTTATTTAACAATAAAGTTTTTGATTTGAACATTATAAAACATGTATTCAGTTTGAGTAGTAAGAAAATTAGTAGATTACTGTGATACTAATTAAGACAAAAAAAACTATCATTTCAATTAATTATCTGTTAATAAAAGGAAAATGCATCATACAAACTGTAAGACAGTTTAAAACACAAAGAATATCCAGTAAATATTTTAATCTATGGATAAATGTTTTTGGAAAATGGAAATACTTTATAGTCCAACACAGGGTCTACTTACAATTTCAGATCTAGTCTCATTTCTCCATTGATTAAAATATTTGCTAGAAAAATAGAAAAGGAAATCATTTTAATCTGTTGATACCAATTGATTCTGTTGATACCAATTGATAACAATCTTTAGACATAATTAGATAACCCAACAATCTGTCTAATTTTCAGTCGCGGGCAAAAAGCGTTGTTTATTATTATTATTATGATAACAATCTGTTGATACCAATTGATACCAATTAATCTGTTGATACCAACTGTGAAACTGACTTGCCAGTGATTTATTATAACCTTTAACAGTTGATATGTATAATTATTTACCAAGACCATGGCAAAATTTTCTACCAAAATTCTGTTATTTAATATTATTTCAGGAAAAAACTTAAACTGTTAAAAAACTTGGCCAAATTTCTTAACCATTTATTTTTATTCTTAAATTTTTGATATGTCAAGCATATCAATGTATTTTTGTTGGCATAAAAATGAGTTAAAAATTTCATAATTATTCTCAAGCAATCTAACTTAACATTCCTGTTATTCAATAACTGAATTCAATTCAAACTGTCCCACTGTGTATTTATGCATGTGGTTAGGTTTTTTGGCTAGAGGTGTCAACTCTTAGAAGTACAGTGCATTCTTGTGGCTGAGTAGCCTACTGCTACAATCCCTTTATTAAGGTTAGTAGGATTGCGTCAAGACAAAGATAGAGATGGATTCAAGCAATCAAAAAGAAGCAATAGATAGAATGTGTTCACATGTTTGTGAGCACCAGAAAAAACCTGCACCTTTAATCATGATGCCAATCAGAGCAGTACTATAGGCTATGTTGCCAGCTGAATGATCTTACAATATAATTCACCAATTTTTAACTTTCCATTTAACATGCTATATAATCTGCTATTCTCTGAATGTGTCCAAATTATCACAGTCTATACTATTGCAGTTTTTCTATTATATACATAATAATCAAAATTAATACAAATGTTAAAAATATCACGCATATGGTAGTGTAACTGATAATTACTGTGTTTAGGTATTAGACAACAAGTTGCAGGTTCAAAATGTATTTTTGATAGATAATTTTCTGAGTGATTGAAATTTAATTTAATTTAATTTAATTAATGCACATTTTTAAAATTATTTTTTATCATGAAATAGTGGTATATCTACATAATACTTCTATAATTTTTGAAAAATACATTTATTACAGTGATAACTGGAGATGTCAACAATCTTTAACAATTATTATTAACAATATATTATTTGTAGATTAATGAATTTGTACTATTTCACATTTTTTGAAAGTGTGATTGAAAAATTTTTTAACTTGCTTTTATTTAAAAAAAAGTCAAAAATCCAATAAAATTAAATAGAAAAAAACATTTCATTTAATTTTAAACAAAATATAAAATTTCAATATTTGAACAAATACTTGAATGAACCCATCATCATTTAAACTAAATACAGTAATGGGAAAATAAACTGATTAATATTTAATACACATCAGATTAGCTTTTCTAAAATGTTAAGCAATGAATAACTTTCTGAAGTATCACATCAAACTAAACATATCAAAAGAATTGATAGCATACGCTATAAATTTTTATGGACTGATGAGGGACTGTGAGTCTGAAATGCATTACTGATATCAATAAAGAGTATATCTTTTCAATTAATATCTGATATATTTTCATCACTTAATCTACAAAGTGTACAGTAAGTCTGTAAAATTAGTCAACCATGGATTTCATTAATAAGAATTATTCCTGACCAGTTCCATCCACTGTTCCAGCAAAATGACAAGGGCAAGGTTCACAAAACGGATAATTTCTGTATCCCTTTGCACATTCATTGCAATTTTTCCCTGTAAAACCTTCTTTGCAAAGACAATCTCCTGGTGCCTTGATAAATGAAAAATAAACTGTTTTTAAAACTTTAAATCAATTTTATAAATTTATTAATATTTTTCAGTTATCTTTTAAATTTAGATCTACTCCAAAACATATTTTAAAACACTCACATCATAAAATAATGTTTAAGTTCAAAACTTTAAAAGTAAAAGACTTTTTCTAAAGTATGTTTAAGATTTAAATTAAAATGATGTTTTTAAATAAATATGAAGCAAATTAAAAATAACTACCAATCCTTCTTGTAAATGTGAACCATCTTTCACACATATTCCAGTCATTCCAGGTGCTGTACATTTACATTTTTGACAACGAGAATAGCTATCCTGTTTAGCATTTCGATAATATCCATCAGCACACTGTTCACAATTAACACCAGCAGTATTATGCTATAAAAGTGAATAATTATATCAATTTTTTTTTACAAAAATTTATTCATTTAAAAAATAAAATATGCTTGTTAAGAAATATTACACATCATATTATTAATTATTAATAATACGTATTATTAATTAAAACACAAAACTATTAATTACTAGAAAATGAATTACTCAACTCTCACCTTACAGTTTTCACAAACACCTCCTCCTTCATATTGTCCTTCAATGTTAAGACTTTCTCTTCTATCAGCTACATTTTGATCATAATAACAACTTTCTGCATGACCAAAACATTGACACACTAATAAAAAACAAATATATATTAGAAATTAGAATGACAGATAAATGAATTATACATAGTAAGAATGAACTAGCCACTGTGATTACTCAGCTGAATTAATGATGTGCCTTCAGCATCGGGTGAAATTTGAAGAACACTAATATTTTCAATCTCATTAATCGACCAGCTTTAAGCATGGACAAGCATGAAATTGAAATCAATCAAGTCAATGTTCTTGAAATTTAACCCACTGTTAAAGGAGCATTAATTAATTTAGCTACTATGTAGTAATATTTAATATTTACTTTTAATTTATATCAATTTTGGATATAATTGCTTTCTGATATATTTACTTACTTATTAGAAACTGGACAAATCTTTATTATTATTTATAAAATTATATTTTGAATTAATATTTTAAACCAAACAATTTAAACATCTTTTAATGAGTTAAAGTGTACAGAATTATTTTCTTTTCTAAATTAATTTAGAAAGGAAAATAATTCTTTAAATTTAAATTTATTTAAATTGCTAATAAAATTTATGGTGTAATATGTAATAAAACACTCCACAAATACCTTAAAAATAAGTAATAATTGTTAGCTAAACCAAAATATATTTTATTATAAATTATGTCAAATATCTTACTTTCACAAACAGCTCCATCTGTAGTATTTCCTGCTCGCCATGCTTTTTGATTGTATAATGGACAACAAAAATCACAATTTTCACCACACGTATTATGTTCACACTTACATTGTTGTTTCTGTTATAAGAATGAAAATTTGATTTATAATTAAATAAAAAATATATTAATATTATTATTAGTTTATTTGTTCTGCAAAACCAAAGAAGACACAAACAAAAAATGAAAACAAAAACAATTTTTCTGTGTTTTTACATGAGTTAATACAACAAATTTTGAAATATTATTGAAATGAATAATGTTTGGTAACATAACAGATATTCCCAATAAATTACGAAACAGTAAGTGAAAATTATCCTGATTGAACTTATCAAAATTAATATGTTACATATATTTACATATTATTACATGAATTTCTTTACAATTAGTGAATAATTGTATAGAAAGAACATGCACTCCTACAAAAATAACATAATTCTTTATTTAACAATAAAGTTTTTGATTTGAACATTATAAAACATGTATTCAGTTTGAGTAGTAAGAAAATTAGTAGATTACTGTGATACTAATTAAGACAAAAAAAACTATCATTTCAATTAATTATCTGTTAATAAAAGGAAAATGCATCATACAAACTGTAAGACAGTTTAAAACACAAAGAATATCCAGTAAATATTTTAATCTATGGATAAATGTTTTTGGAAAATGGAAATACTTTATAGTCCAACACAGGGTCTACTTACAATTTCAGATCTAGTCTCATTTCTCCATTGATTAAAATATTTGCTAGAAAAATAGAAAAGGAAATCATTTTAATCTGTTGATACCAATTGATTCTGTTGATACCANATATAGGAAGATAATATCTTGTTTAAAATTAGAATTACAACCTGTTTGCAACTTTTTTTTTATATTTGTAACTTGATAATAGTCATCACAGCAGCTATCATCAGGTTACAAGCATCATTAAAATGAAATCTTTGTTTCTTTTTCTTCTTGTTATGTAATAAATGCTAATATTTTAAATATGTAATCAAGTAGTTGTTAAAAATAGAGTATTAAAAACTAAATTTTTTACAATATTTTAACTCTGCTGTTTCAATATCTTTCTTTAGACTCTTTAATTTTAAAAAATCTACAATGAGTTGCTAGATTTTTTAAATTTCAGACATCATTTTGGAATTTTATAAGATAAAAATCTTCATTTCAAAAGAGCTTAAAACTCGTACAAGGAAAATTTTTCATAAAGTCTGACATCACTCAAGATACAACACATGACCACCCCTCTGTCTCCCCAACACAAGTTCCATACTCCAAAATTTAAGAGCATCAATGTCCCTTACAAACAAGTTATCATACCAAATTTTGTTTTTTAATCTTTACTCCATCATGAGATATTGACTGGATGGTGAGAAATGAGACATATTGTATATGGGACAGATCACCCATGAAAAATTCCTGGGGAGTTGCTCATTCAAATTCTCTCCCAGATCAATAGGCTGGTGTCTTAACTGGCCTCAGCCATCCAGCCAACAAATTTGCAGTATTTTAGTTAGAAACATTACTTTGTATTAAGCTGAGTTTTGTTAAAAAATTCTCTTCAAATTCAATTGAAACATTCTTAAATTAAAAAGTCAAAATAAAAAATATTTTGATTTATAAATAATTTTGAAAAACCTGTAGAATAAAATAATGATGATAGTAATTACTTATTAAAAATTTACTAATAAAAGAATTTAAGATTTCAAAGCAGTATAAACAATAGTAATACTCACTCTCATTGTCACTGCCTTATCAATTCTTTCTGGGTCATTTGTTTGTAAGGTCATAAGATCAGCATTTAAAGTTCTAATCTTTTGTAATCTTAATCTTACATATCTTGCTGTTGTAAATTTCTGAAACCAAAATTTAATTTATACATATTTAATATCAAATAACTTAAAATAACATGTTTTAATCTATTTAGTACTTTCAAGAAGCAAATCTCAACTTCTGAACTTCTTGAAAATATTAAACAGATTACAATCTGTTTAATATTTTCAAGAAGTTCAGAAGTTATATATAATCTGTTTTTAGAAGTTAAATATAATCTTTTTAATATTTTTAAAATACAAAATTCCTTGAGAAGTGTTATTTGATATCTTGACATCATCTTTTTTCAATTTATGTTATCAATTAAAGTTCAAATGAACTCCTTGGCTATACATGCTTTATATTTAGTAAAAAATAAACATAAATTAATATAAATTAACTTGCTATTAATTTATATTAATGATATAAATTAATATCAAGTTAATTTATATTATTAATATCATTAATAAAAAATTATTCTGATGTTCAAATATATTTGGTTTATTATGGAATATATAGGAATGTTCCGAAAAGTTTTGAAGCAATGGTTTTAATTTGAATGTTTTTTCTTAAAATTTGAATCTGAAATTGAGAATTATTTCTCAAAAACTTCAATCAAGTTTTTGCCTAAGACTTTTTTTTTGCTGTAAGGCATTTGATTTTTAATATAAAAAATTCAAATTTATTTTATAAAAAGCTTCTCGAAATGATGAAAATCTGATAAAATTTGTAAAGATTGTGATAATTTATTACTTTTTATGGTCTCTCTGGATCTCTTTGCACTCAGATAACATGCAAACTCTGTTCTCGTTGCAGAGGCCATGGAGACATTGCCTAATATGCTTCAGATAATTTTTCAGTTTATAAATTCTATATATTTTATACTTTTGATATTAGTATAAGCATTTAACATAATCTTATATTGTTCAATGGAACTTATGTAATAGTTTTTTTTTGGAAATAACACTGAACAAGAAAGAGGTAGTCTTTCATATGGGGATATGCATTTTGGGCATCTTTTGCCCCTCTTCAATCCAATTTCTTAAGAAATTCCTATTTAACATTATATTCAATATAGTATTTTATAACATTCAAATTCTTTTCATATATTATGGTTTACAGTAGCGTGATTTCTGTCTTTTTCTTCTTAGTTTTCTATTATGGCATTTAAATCAAATCCAAGACTAACTTGGTTTAATGTTATAATAGAAAACAAAAAATGACAGAAAAATACTATTTTAAACCATAAGGGACTGTCCATTCATTGTGTGTACAACTTTGAGCCACTTTTGACCACCCTCCCCTCTCTGTTATGTACAATGATGTACTTTTGGTAAATCTCCATCCCTCTTTGATTACATGTAGAATAGATCAAACTCCCCAACATTGAAGAAATGCCATTAACACCACTAAAACATCCATGTAGACAATGTCTCAACCCCCTTTCTCCATCATTTACAATAATGTACTTTTCACAATCCTCTCCTTCCTTTAAACTATACATGTAATTTGACAGTCCCCAATGTATAAAAAAAATTTGAATGTTTTAAAATAAAAAAAAAACTACTACATAAATTTCATTGAATACTACAAGTAAAGGGAAGTAGGTAGACATAAGATGGTTCATTATTATATAAATAAATGACTGATTACTTTTAAAAGATACTGATATTGTTAAAAGACTTAGTATGCTTCTTATTTTCTTAGTTTGTATATGTAAGTGATGAGATCTAAGTGATTGATAAATTTCTTTTATTTTTTAAAAATTTTATTTATTTGTTATATTTAATATTAAAAGCTTTTTATTTAAATATATTTAATAATTTTAATTTAATAATTAATTATTCTATATTATTTTATATATATTTCATATTCACCCTTAAAGTATCACTTGGGCCATCTACTCCAGGTCGACCATTAACTAGTGATGTATGAATCTGAAAAAAAACAAGATAATGTAAATTCAGATTTAAAAGCTTCATAAAGAAAAACAAATCTACATCTATATCTTATAAACAAATATATTTGAAGTATTTAAACAACTAATATTTGAGAAATTTCTAAAATCTTTTTTTTTTTAACTTATGACTCTTAATAATTTATTTAACACTTTCAGGGAGAAAATTTTATCACCTTCAGAATAATTAAATAATTCAAATATATATGTAGTTTCTCATATTTCAATGGAAATCTCTAAACTGCAATCAAAACTTAATATATTTTTTATAATTCTTTCTGTACTGTGGGCACTAAGAGGAACTTTTTATCAAGCTTATCATGGGTTTGCCCAAGCTCACAATGAGATAACCAGATGATGAGGGACAAGGCCTGACTCCAAAACAGACCATCTTCTGAAAAATTCCTGGGGTTTTTTGATATGTATTGATTCCTTCCCACCCAGGTCATCCAGAGCAAATGGCTAACATCTTAACTGTTATCTTTGAAACTCAATATTTTAACAAATTTATTCTTTATTGTTTATCATCTTGTACAGTTTATGTACAGTATTTTATAAAATAATAGAAAAGCTTAAAATTAATTTTATTTTGCATTAATCTACAGGTTGTCTGAAAAGTTATTGTACAGTGGGAAATTGGTAATGACATTAAAGTTGTTTGCAATACTGTATGTATACCTGGTCAACTGGTACCAAATGGACAACTTACAGGTCTTGTATGTGATACTATATGTATAACTGTAATGTTGTCAAAATTTTTCACTGCACAGAATCTGTCAGACACCCTGAGTTACTTTTTGTATATTTTTCTGCATATTGTATATTTTTGTGTAATCAAAAANACACTTTCAGGGAGAAAATTTTATCACCTTCAGAATAATTAAATAATTCAAATATATATGTAGTTTCTCATATTTCAATGGAAATCTCTAAACTGCAATCAAAACTTAATATATTTTTTATAATTCTTTCTGTACTGTGGGCACTAAGAGGAACTTTTTATCAAGCTTATCATGGGTTTGCCCAAGCTCACAATGAGATAACCAGATGATGAGGGACAAGGCCTGACTCCAAAACAGACCATCTTCTGAAAAATTCCTGGGGTTTTTTGATATGTATTGATTCCTTCCCACCCAGGTCATCCAGAGCAAATGGCTAACATCTTAACTGTTATCTTTGAAACTCAATATTTTAACAAATTTATTCTTTATTGTTTATCATCTTGTACAGTTTATGTACAGTATTTTATAAAATAATAGAAAAGCTTAAAATTAATTTTATTTTGCATTAATCTACAGGTTGTCTGAAAAGTTATTGTACAGTGGGAAATTGGTAATGACATTAAAGTTGTTTGCAATACTGTATGTATACCTGGTCAACTGGTACCAAATGGACAACTTACAGGTCTTGTATGTGATACTATATGTATAACTGTAATGTTGTCAAAATTTTTCACTGCACAGAATCTGTCAGACACCCTGAGTTACTTTTTGTATATTTTTCTGCATATTGTATATTTTTGTGTAATCAAAAATATGATTAAATATTACATTACTTGTACATTATTTAATTATTATATTAAGTATATAATATTGGCTTAGTTACTATATTTTATTAATATCATAATATTATGGTAATAATATCAATTTTATCCTAACAAACAACTTTTTAAATACTGTATTAATACAAAATTTCAAATATTTAATGTAATATTAAGAACAGCAACACTTTTTGTCTTAGCACTATTTTCATTGGCCTTTATATATTATGGTTAACAATAAATATCTAAAAACAAAAAATATACAGGTAACCCTCATATAACATGATAATTAGGTTCCACAAAAATTTTGTGTTATATAAATTGCCTTATTTGAGACTCACATTTCTTATAAAAAGTCTCATTACATTCCAAAACAATTTTTTTAATGTAAATTTTATCTATTATGTAAGGAAAAAGTTTTATTATTTCAGAAAATTTCATTTAACAAAACACAAATTACAAAACAAAAGCAAACTTAAAGAAATATCACAAAACCCAATAAATTTGTAAAGTTAAATAATTAAATATTAAAAGTAAACAAAAGTAATTAATTAAATATAATCACAGTCTATTCTTCCATAATTATATTTAATTAATTATAAATAATTTGTCATTAGAGGGAAGCATTAGACATTATCTCTTATTAAATTTAATAATTAAAATTAATTTAATATTTATTAAATAATTTAGAATATTTTAGAAAAAAAGAATTGACACAGAGTGGGACTTGAACCTGCAACTCCCTCTTACTATGAAGATGCATTGCCAGTTATGCTACCCAAGCCTCCTAACCTCTAGTGACAAATCATTTAGTAATTAATTAAATATAATCAAGGAAAGTAGCCTGTTATAATTCAATGGTTGTTTGGCTTTACAAAAGCAAACTTATTAAAATTTGTAAAATAAAGAACCATTCATCATCACTACTATCTTCCAAAACAACATTTTGCTAATATTCTTTATTTGCCAATGGCAAGATGTCTTCATCACTTAAAACCTTTTGGACATTGCTATAATTTTCAACTTCTACATATTCATCTGATGGTTTTATTTATAAGAAATCAATTATGAAAATCTGCTGAGTGCTTTGTTGGAATTGTTTTTGAAGTTCATTATACGGTGCTAAATAAATTTCCAATTGTCTTTGAATAAGATAAACAGATAATTTCATATAAACTCTTATTGAAATTGCATTGTACAAGTTCTGCATTATACATGGATATCTGTACTAAAAAACATACATATTTTGAAAACAATCACAAGAATAACTCTCGTCTTCTTAGTTAGTCCTTCTCAAACCACAAAAAATGTAATTAATTAATAATAGAACTTTCTTAATAACAGACTTTCTTTACAGGCTCATCATCATCTAAAGCTATATAAAGTTAGGTTAGATTCTAGATACGTATACTGTCATGGCGCCTGTCCCAACTGTTTGTATACATAAGACTGACTCCTCCCGGAGGGGAGCCACCGGCAGGCCACCTTGTGCCAAACGTTACTAGTTATTGATTCACGGTAGTTATTGATTCATGGTTGTTCTTGAACACACATATCAATAACTAGTATGAAGTATCGCCATGAAGTACATATCTAAAATTTGACTTATTATTTTTATTGTTAAGTAATTTTTTTATGATTACTGCATAATCAGATGAACTTCTAAAAGCTTTGGAAGCTAAACTTATAAAACAAGTTGACTACTGTTTAATTGTTCTTTTAATATATGAAGAGCATTCTAAAAAAATGCCAAATTATTTTGTGTTCAGTTGTGTGAAATGATCAATTATGTGAAAATGAAAACTTTAAAGAATTCAGTTTTACACCAAAGTGGCTCTGGCATTGGGACTATTTTCTTTCAGACATCATGAAGATAATTCATTATGGTGCCATTGAACTGAGAATATTTTATAATTTGTGTTGGCAGTTCAATGGCTGTCTTTTCTTCTTATTTGTCTTCAAATTATATAATGTAAAAATGAATTATTGATTCAATCACCATTTTAATTCTTCATTGTAAATCTCTAATTCAATATTTTCATTAATAATTATTTTATTCTAAGGACCGTGTAACAATTTTGGTACCTGAAGCAAAGTCTGAAAATTATACCTATCAGAAGGCTCAATAAAAAAGTCTGGTTTCTTTAAGAACTTTTGCTCAATTTTGCATTAATACTTAATACCAGTTTAACAGTCCTATTAATAATTTATGTCCAAGTCAACAAACATAATAAGAATTACACCTATCTATTTACATTTTCTATATTTTGGCATTGGTGCTTCAAAGTTTCTTTAATAGTTAATATTCAAATTTTTGTTGCATTTAAAGAGTATCTAACAATATGACATATTTTTGTATCCATTTCAATTTAATACCTGAGTCAGATACCTCATATATGTATGAAAATCACTGTTTCACTTGTTTCAATAGTTAACAGATTTAAGTAAAGCATTCAAAACTGATGAATAATAAACAATTTAACTTACAAAGATTGTTTAACAACTTCATGCGTTGTTAATGTTTTTTAAGAGAGTTGGTAATTGTCAACAGTCTGTTGACTGCTTTATAAATTGATAATTTTTTTGAATTGAAACTCTTAATAAATTTTGCTAAATTAAAAATACATAATCAAATAATTTAATTTTAAAATGTAAAAAAATGCTTTAATTAAATAGTACTTACTTCTCCATTCTCAAAAGGATTTAATTTGGAATAGTATGAGGTACATATAACTTCATCATCACTCCTATATTTAGGTGTTCCTAATGTTGGAGGTATACGATATATTTCCCAGCATTCACTATCACTTATCACATAATATTGCCATGGTTGATAATTTAAACCATCCAATGAATGTTCTAATATCCAATTTCCAGGTCTTGGAGATATTGCAGCTTTCACAATAACATAAGCAACTTGATAAACCTAAAATGAAAATTTTTACAGTGGAAGACACAGAAGTAAATTTGTTAAACATTTTTTTTAACATTTCAAATAATATACTTATAAATTTGCATTGGCATCAAATTATATTACAATGATTAAGAAAAAGTTATTCATTTGTGTAAAACATAACAATAAATCAGAAACTAAAAATGAAAATATTAGTAAATTAGTAATCAGTGGGTTTTATTTTTCACTTGTAAGTTAAAAAGTTTTCTTTCTTTTATCTGTCGTTTTTGTTTATGTGCAATTATAGTTTACACTGCTTTTACTATATATTTTACTCAGCTCATGAAAAACGAGCTACGGAAAGAGTGTTTGTAGGATTTACCATTTATATTGAATATACATAATTGATATTTTTTATGCAGCTGCAACATCAATATCACCATTTAAACTATAATCCACAACCACAACATTCTTATTGTATAGTAAATTTTATCACATACAAGCACACAGTGCACACTGCACATGTCTAATGATTAAGATTGAACATGATTGAAATTAATAAATAATTAGGCCTATATAGATATAAGATTTGTGTTATTGATCTTATTTTCCATTTATGTCTTTTAGAACAGCTTATTAGTGGTATGATTTATAGGCTTGGCAAAAACAAAACTGATATAATGTTCAGTAGGAAAAAAGAACCTTAGAGTAAGGCCTATCTAGAGTACACATCTGAGAAATATTGATTTAGATGCTAGCTTTCTCAAAGCATAAATGAATTTTGATGAATTCTGAATCATAATCCATATAGATAAAAATTGCCTATTTATCTATAACAAAGCAGTGTTTTATGCATAACATAAAGCACTGGTTTTGAACCAAGATGCCATAAAGAAACTTTAAGGGTCCCACAAAATGGATTGGTGGAAGGACACAATGCATATATGAGTGATCTACTGAGGAAGAGTGCCACCCAGGAGACTTTCTATAGGAAACTGGCCTCTATTTAGATGTTAGACATGTGAAGAAAACCCATAAAATTACCAGTGTTCAGTGGTTTTATCCACTCAGTGATTGCTTGGCCTTGATGAAGTATAGTACTGAACAGCATCCAGGGGCAACCCTAGGGTGGTGCAAATGGTGCAACCACACCAGGCGCCGTCATAGGGGACACAGAAAATGCAATGATAGATCTGTGCAAAAAATAAAACCCAATTACCTTATTAGTACTTAACCCTACCCACCAAAATAAATTCTATACAACAGCGAACTTGGTTGTGTACATTTCAAAAGGTATACAAAATAGCACTAACCATTGTAGACTGTTAACCTTTTCAAACAAATATTGTTTCTTTAAAATTTAAAATTATGACACTTACCTGTTGCGGCGTTATTGACAGCGATTTGTTAAATTTCAGATATGTTCGCTAGTACTTTCAACAGTTTACGACTGTCGTCTTCAGGCGAAATCGAATACCTTTGTTTTCGAATTGATAGCTTTTAACTGACTTTTCAAATTACGTAATGCACGAGATCGAAATGTAGAACAAATTAATAAATTGAATTAATAAATATTTTTTTAAAGTAACTTGCTGTAATAACTTGAACTCCCCAAATCATATAAATATTGATTGATGGTGCCGTATATGGTGGTAGAATAAAATTAGATCACAAAATTATAACTTGGATTGTTTAAATAAAGTTATCCATAGCTGTGGTATTTCCAACGTCGGCGCGTTGCACGGCAAAACTGCAGATATGTACAGGTTTTCCCATATAAATATTTGTCTACGATCATTGCAATGCTTAAGTAATTTAATGTTGTTCCAAAGTGGAAGATAATTTTGGTCTAGAACCTTTTTCGCTAATTCTGTAGCTGGTCTGTTGTTTCTAATATCTTCTTGATGTTCGAAGATACGAGACCGCATCATTCTGCTGGTAGCTCCAATATACATAATTTCCTCCCCTGATGTTGTATGTTTTAATGGAATTATATAAACCCCCGATTTTTCATTCAAGGTGAGAATGTCTCTGTCGTTGCACAATGTTCTTCGTAGTGTCGGTTGAGGGGTTATAGGCAATATAAAACCATGCTTCCTGAATATGCACGTTATTTTTAGTGAGATGGTGCCCAAGTACGGTATTGGAGGGTTTATTATCTTTAGGTTTTCTTTGTTGCTGAGGAAAGATTTTGGAAATAATTTATTTATGACCCGGTTGTAGAGATATCGATATTTGGAATTAGAATATCCGGCATTGTGCATTGCTCTTTTGATGATTTGTAATTCTTCATCAATTAATGCCTGGGAGGATGGAATGAGGAGCGCTCTCCGAATAAGCGAAGTAATAGCAGAGTTGACGAAGCTTGTGGGTTGGAAAGCAGTTACAGGGATAATATCTGGTCCTCTGTTGTTTTTATGGTGTACCGCAAAAGTTAGCTCCAGAGATCTGTGCACTTCTAAATCTAAAAAGGAAATTGTATTATTTTGCTCCTCTTCTACAGTAAAATTGATAGAAGGATATATTGAAGCTAGCATTTGAATAAATTTGTCTAAATCCTCTGCAGAACCATCCCATGCAAGCAAGATGTCATCGACATATCGTAGATACATGATGGGATAGTGGATTGTTAAAGGTGCATGGAAAATACGATTCTCTATATTCCTCATGACAAGTTCTGCTAAAATAGGTGACAAGGGGGAGCCCATTGGTACACCCTGGGTTTGTTTGTATATTTTGCCATTGAATTGAAAATAGTTGTTTTCTGTGATAAATAAAAGAGCTTCACGCAAATGTAATACATTTGATATGGGGTGTCCAGAACTCAGTAGAAGTGCATTAGCCAGCATGACAGCTTCAAAATGTGGTACCGATGGATATAATGAAATAACGTCTATTTTGTATAACCGGTACGAGTTAGTGGGAAGGTTACTTAGTGTAGTTACAATGTTAGCTTTAGCATTTAAAACGGCATTGGTTACTAAGTTGGAGGGTGGTACTAAAGCAGAGATATGTTTTGCCAGTGCTGTCTCGAGGAAATATGTAGGATGGGAGCGTTTATTAATCAACGGTCTTAAAGGCCAAGTAGGTTTATGTGTCTTCACTTCAAAGAATAATCTTGGGCAAGCAATGTTCGTTGGCGGCACTATATTTTCATTTATAAATATTGTTTCTTTTTACTGTTATTGTTTCTCATTCATACTACTACTATGCTAATCTTTTGGAGGTCTGAGTTATTAATAATGTAAAAAATGTATGTTATCTTTAGTCTCTATGTACAGTTTAGTCTCTACAGGGGAGTGCCACAATGATATCTCATACCACTTGAAAACCTTGCTAGGGCCTCCCCTGACAACATCATAATACTTCTCATGTTTACTACTAAATGTACCTTTACTAAAAGTACTAAAGATGCAGTAACTCTACATTGATAAAGATGTAAAAGAAAAGCTAAATGATCTACTAAATTATCAGGCTATTTTAGCGTGTAAAGATGCTGCAAGAAAAAATGATCAATTTGTGAGTGTCCCTGTTAGAAAAAGGTTAAAACCACTGACATAAAGAATAGGAATAATTGAGTTTGAATCTTAAATCTTGGATCATGATGATTCTTTTAATTTTTTACTACTTTAATTAAGTAGTAAAAAAGTCATTCATCTGAATAATTTTAGTTAAGATTTTGATAAAGCTCACACATAAATTTACCTGTTTGAGATCAAGTGTAATAGTCACCCATTCAAACTGTTTTCCATTTTGTAATGTTGGACTCTGCCACCATCTATTAGTACCATCAATGGCATTTGTAATTGGATGTCGTTTCGATGGATTACTTGCATCACAGATTCCACATTGAGGCTCTCTATAAAACAAAATTTTTAATTAATTTATTTGTTTATAATTACTTTATTTACATAAATATTATCTAATTTTATTACATTTTTATTTAGTAGACTTCAGTTTATGTTAATATAAAACATTTGATAAGTATTTTATTTACAGTATATTATAAATAAAAGAGAAACTGCACAGAAGGATTATTATATTATTTATAATAATGCTTTCCATGTATAAAATTTCATTAAATACTATAATTTTGATGAGATAGAGAAGTAATATTCAAATTGAAATGATGCTTCATTTAAATCAGTTTTCCGAGCTTTTTGGATTTTTCTAGTTTTCTTCAAAATAAAGTTTTGTTCCCCTTGTCTTCCAATACCTCAGCCTCCCTTGCCTTCCAATGCCCACACCAAGTGCTGTCATAGGGAGGCACAGAAAATGCAATGATAGATCATTTGTGCAAAAAATAAAACCCAATTACCTTATTACTACTTATGACCACTTTGAGGGTGGCACTTCCACCACTCCTAAAGTGACAGTAGCACTTTCTTTGGAATTCACTGATTTAAATCATGATTTAAGTAATCAATGCAAAAATGTAATTTGTTTATCAACACAAATAAAAAAAAAAATAGATATTTTGCTTCTATAAGAATAATTTTCTACCAATAAGTTTTATTAGAGAGAATTTGTCTCACTTAATATATGTCTAATAATCTGACATGAAAGTTGCAAAAGATGTCAAGAGACATTTTAAATAAACTTTGATTATTAACAGTGAAATTTAAGATTAGATAACTAACAAAAGCAACTCTTCTTCATTTTACTACCTAATTAAAGAATAACAAATGTAATCCAATACTTTTAATCAGGAAAATGTCAAGCAATGTCTATCTTTTGCAAGAATATATTAACAATTCTCTTACATTTAAAGATGCTTTTATCACTATACTGTTATTGTAAATCTGTGTAAATAAAATAAAATTACATAATCTATGCAGCACAGATAATTTGATTCATCATCTAACATGTAACATAAATGCTGTATGTCTAAGTTTTACATTACAACTTAGTCAGTCAGTTCTGTCTTGATTATGTATATAATTATTTCAAATAGTCAATATTTTATGAAAAAATATGTTATATATTGGTGCATCATACAAATTGCAAAAGTTTTATATGACTTTATTTTTAAA